TGATAGGTCGGGTAATTTAAAAAAATATATTTAGATGAAATTTTAAATTTCAGCAGAAATAAATTCATATTTAAATTTTGTTAAAAGTTTCGCAATATTTTTTCATTTATTGCCCCCAGCTTATACGCATTGAGACTAAATTAAACTGTTAATGGAAATATACCTACACAGAACTGTACAATAGGTAAGTAGGTATAAATATTGTACTGGTACTAATTCAAATAGTAGAATTTTGACTATTTCATTTTTAGAGAGTATAAAACCTTATCTAATAATAAGTTTTAAAATTAAGTTTAATATTAAAACATAAATTTATATCCCGTATGGTCTAGCGGATAGAGTTTTGGACTCTTCAAGGTTCATAAAATATTCAAAAATAAAGTTCAGGTAAATGTAACATTATTTTTCGCCTGATTTGGCAAACGCGTCGATATAAAACAGAAAATAAAAACTTTTTTTGTCGGGTCCGTGCAGAATAACAATTTTGCGTATTCCCGAAAGTTTTTAAAGTCGAAGTAATTTAAACTTATCTGGAAAATGGGCCGCCGAAAATTTATATTTGAATTGGGAACTTTATTTCAACCGCATTGTGTGAAATTGCATTTTATTATTGTCAGCTAGCGAAATGTTTTCCGAAAACTTTTTGGCTCGCCTGCTAGCATCATTTTTAAACACAATATTATACAGCATAACTTTCGGTATTATGATAATATTACTTTTTAACACTTTAAACACAAATTTATACGTGTTCAAAAATTAAAAAAAGATTTATTTTTTAATACAAAAGTACACTCACAGGCAAAATAATCGATCCACACAAATTTTCGATGAATTTCAATCGCAAATAACTTGTTTATTTGATGTCGGATTTAAACGAATATTAAAGAATATTGTAGATAAATTAATGGACAATCGCTCACATTTTAAAAAATTACTAAAAAATTGACGTACGTTTATAATATACAGGTTTAAACAAAAAGATGTTTTTTACCATAAGTTTAAGACACTCTGTAGAGTGGCAAAACCGTTAATTGTTCTAAATTAAGTTTTATTTATCAAGTCACATCTATTCTTAACAATTTTGTTTTTGGTTCACCTCGATATATTTATTTTTGTGGATAATATGGATTTTAAAAAAAATCAATTTCCAATATTTTTTCTGTATGAAGAACTAAGGTTGCTATGGTCCATCCATAGGCTATGGAGGATGACAGTGACAGTTTTGTTGAATCATCCCATACTTGGACATGTCTCCGACTGATGTTGCCAGAGCCATTAATTTAATCCAGGATGGACAGTCACAGTATTACGTGGCAAGTGTTTTAAACGTCACTAGAAGTAAAGTACAAAGGGCAACATCAGTCGGAGACATTTTTAAAAGTAAGAAGACACCTCAAAATTAACACATTAATTTACAAAAAACAATTTGATAGCTTTTGAAAGATGTATATGACATGTCCAAGTATGGGATGATTCTACAAAACTGTCACTGTCATCCTCCATAGGCTATGGATGAACTATAGAAACCTTAGTTCTTCATACAGAAAAATATTGGAAATTGCAATGTTTTTTTAAAAAAATCCATATTTTCTACAAAAATAAATATATCAAGGTGAACCAAAAACAAAACTGTTAAAAATAGATGTGACTTGATAATTAAAACTTAAATTAGAACAATATACGATTTTGCCACTCTACAGAGTGTCTTAAACTTATGGTAAAAAACATATTTTTGTTTAAACCTGTATATTATAAACGTACGTGTATTTTTTAGTAATTTTTAAAATGTGAGCGATTCTCCATTAATGTATCTACAATATTCTTTAAAATTTGTTTAAATCCGAAATCAAATAAAAAAGTTATTTGCGATTGAAATTCATCGAAAATTTGTGTGGATCGATTATTTTGCCTGTGAGTGTATATTTATAGGATTTATTTAAAAAATTGTACAAAAGAGTAACATTTATTTTTGAAATATTTTTAACAACAGATTTCAACTCTTTTCTTGACAGTATTTAAAACTAAATTGATATGATATGATATCAATGATATCAACACAGATTAAATCGTTAATGAAGCTAACACATCATTTACTGCTTGCACCAACAAATGCAAAAATAAAAAACCGAGAGAAAGCATTAATGAAAGATATCCTTTCAAAACGTAATATCCTGTAGGTACCTCATGCAGGATATTAAAGTTTATTTTATCTTTTCGTGGTTCGAAAATGCTTTGTGACTTTAATCCCATCGACGTTTAATATAATAAATGGTTATCATTTTTCCGATGTAGCTATCTTTCATGATATATTTTTAGTGCCTTTTGTAATTAAATTTTATAGGTTTAAACAAATAAACAACTTGTTTATAGAGAATATAAAAATGTGTCTTTTTGTAAAATGGAATTTCTCCTGTTTGTTTAAATTTGTTTTCGGTTTTAATTAGAAGAGATAAATAAATAAATTGGACTGCACATTGCAGAGGTGTTTTCGTTAATGATTCATTTAAATGGAAACATAAATAAATTTGTGGGAAGGTTGTCTAAAATGTTTGATGTGTTTTAGTTATTTTAGCATAAATTTTAAAATACAAGAAATGTAAAAAAATATATAATAATTATTATACAGGGCTACCAACGTTATACCAAATTTATATAATTTATAATATAATATAATACTTTTGCATATTTTGATGACATTCTACATTTTCGATAGCTGATCACAATTTTAATACAGTTAGTTTTAATTAATTTATTGATATTTATGATAAATGAAATTTTAGAGATTTGGTTTATTTATATTTAATTCTGATTGCATACAGTTTAGTTTTTGAATTAATTCCAACGATTTGGAATTATAAAATTTGTGCAACTTTAAAATCCTTATTTGAATTGTTTTTAAAACAGTTTTGGAAACAAATTTAATAATTTTGAAATACAATTATTATTATTTGTTTAGTTTTATTAAAATTTGTGTGCTTTAAATATAAAAAGTCCTTATGGACTATTTAAAATAAAGAAAATAAATAAAAATTGTTTAAATTAATTTTTTTAATGCAATTTTAGTTTAAAGGTATTTAAAGGAATAATGTTTTAAAGGTGTTTTTTAATTTTGACATTTTATAAACAATCTTTAATTTCTATAAAAAAAACTTATATTTGTAGACATTTTATATGTTTACTGTATAGCAATTTGAGATTCACCATCTAGAATTTCAAAAAGTATTTATGTTTTTGTGGTCAATAATATTTTTAAAACGGTTTTATACCTTATGAGGTAATTCTTAAATTTTATGGAAGATATTGTAAAAACATTTTATTAAAAAGAAATAATATTCTACATGTTATAACGAAATAGAGAAATGTGAGATTTCTGTGCAATTTTGCATTTTTACAAATTTTAGCAAATTTTTGTTTTTTTTTTATGAGAAAGTATTTTTTTAAACACTTCTATCATAATATATGTGAATTTTTAAGTCAACAATTTTATGCTCATTTACAAAAACATTTTTTGCCTTAAAAAATTATAAAATTTGTAATGGTATTATGATACCTACACTGAAAAAAAAGATTTTGTTTTAGAAGTAATTTTGTTACACACTTTGGGTTATAACATTAATTTTGATTCATATATATTATTATATATATTATTTTATAAAATTGGTAATTAATTTTCTACTATGCCTAAAATATTACAAATTATTTAAAATAAAAAATATGTCAACAACAATGAATAAGTTCCCTACGTTAATTTATAATAATGTATACATTTTAGATTTTTCTTGTATTAAAAACAAAATAAATGTGTTTGATCAACGTTTGTTTTTTATTTTCTAACCTAAATTTTTTTGCTTACTGCACCACCTAGAAACGATACAACGTATACTTTGGCCCTTCAGTAAGTTTGGCTAAATTTTGAATAATCCGTAAGTATTTAAATATAAAGTTTTGTTTAAGATTATAATCTATAGACAATCCTTAAAAAAATTACAGTATATTTAAAATTACTCCAGTGTTTAGACGTATTTTTATTTTAAATTTTATATCTTTTGCAGTAATATTCATAAATATAAAGATGTTTTTATTATTAAAATAAATAATTTTTAGTATCATTATTTAAAATTTTATTGATTTTAAATACAAAATGATAGATGATTTTATTTTTTTTAAATAAATAATATTTTGCAATCAATGAAATAAAATGTTAAATCTTGTATATATTAATTTAAAAAAATATTGGGTTATAGAAAACAATTTAATTTAAAAAAATTATTGCATATCACATGTTTTTGTTTAAAGAAAATTTATTCTTGAATTAAGTATCTTTTTTATTTAAGAATAACACTAATTTATTTTCTTGAATTAGGTAAATATTGCTGCCTTATTTCAAAAATTATATATTCTTGCTTTTAAACAATCAAAGTTTTATTTAAAGAAATTTAATTTTCTTACATTAAGAAAAGATTCTTCTAAATCAACGTGAATTAAGAAAATACTTTACTATTTAAAGAATATATTCTCTTCGTTATATATGAGACAAAGATTGTTTTGAATCAAATAAATTTATTTGGCACAAGAATATTTTTTTTAGTGTAGGTATATTCGTCAGTTTTTTTCAATTTTTCCAAATTATAAAAATCTTGTTCAATAACATGACATTTGAAAAAACATCTATGAAGGACAAATTTAAAAATTTTGTTTGTTTGTATTAATGGTGTACTCTCTAAAAATGAATTTGTCAAAAATTACTAATTTTTAAAGTGAAAAAGCGGTCTCTAATAACTGTAGTGCATAGCATTTTGTATCTCGGACATTTGACAGTTAATTCTTGTGTAAAATTGTCTCATGAACCCGAAAAGAGAAAGTAGAGTAGTTAAAAAATATTAATATTAAAAAATATCTGTTGACGAGATTAGTGGGTGCTTTTTCGCTAATTTTTGACTGATTCATTTTTAGATACGGGACATTCTTAAAACATGTATGGGTTGATGATTGGGACTCACCGGTCGTCATATACGAATCCGGCTTCGAACGTGTTAGAATAAAGTATGAAAGCCAGACAACAGCTTAGTATGCTGGAATAATCCATCTTTAAAGCATCGGACGTGTTGCTTTGTATCTCCGCTGCACCATCACTACCTAAATCATATCGAAGACACTACATCGTATCGTCTTCGAAAAATCTACGCCTCATGGACGCGAGTGCGTAACCTGTGGAGCCTCAGTGGGTCTGCTAGACCCGTGCGCGACTGTGCGCTCGCTAGGCGCCCGATCCGGTTAAATAGGCGACGCGATCGCCCGCCGACTGTCGACTGACGATCGACCCCGTCGTGCCGCCGACGCCGACGAATCGGGGCGGTGAGGATGCGCGCGCATCTCCGCGCTCTAGGAAGTCTCGCGACTACGGGAGTCTTCTTACAGGTGGCCGCGGCTTCGGCTAGATGCTTTTGCTGCTTCTGCTGTTCCTGGATGTGCATGACAAAAGTTGTGGTTACTTTGAAAGATCTTTTATAAGAAAATAAAAAATGTTTATTTATTTTTACTGTTTCATCTAATCTCATCTAATTAAGAATGTAATTAAAAACATCATTGTTCGGTATTGTTTAATGTTTTTAAATGCTTTAATCAGCTTATGTCAGGTAAAATGTCAAATATGAATCAAAATTTATGGTCTAAAAAATAAAATGAAACTTTTTGGAAGTAAAGTTTTTTAAAATGGAAAGGTATAAATGCTTATAAAAAAGGATAAAATAATGGGATAGAAGAATGGAAGAATTAATTCAAATTAATATAGACTTAGCGGTACCAATTCTGAAGAACTGTTTTGCTAGCTATAACATAGTGTAAAATAAATAAATAAATATAAATATAACTACATGTTTCCTCATTTTTGGATGTAAATAAAGAAGTTGCGGATGAGTTAGTAAGATGTTTTATAAATAAATAATAGTACAGTCCCTGGCCAATTTATTAGACTCACATTTTTAAAATATTTAAACTATCAAAATAATTATATATAATATACTAATATACTAATATTTTTCAATAAAACGTTAAAGTTTCGTAAACTACGTTTTCTCATACACAGTAAAAAAATCAACTCTAAGCAACACTAATTAGAGTTCAAACAGGTCCACACTAAATAGTGTTTTATAACACTACAATTAGAGTTAATTTGTAGTGTAATTTTCCCCAAGTAAGCAAGTATGATTTAACACTATGACACTGAGGATAAAGTAATTTTACACTGTATTAAAAAGTGTTAATTTACCTAAAATCGTGTACTTCTACACTTCCTGGGTAAAATCCCACTTTTGTTCAGTGTAAATTAACACTACTTTGGAAAAGTTCTAATTTTAGACTTTACTTACTTTTACTCTTTTAGTGCAAACTTCTAGCGTAAATTAACACTATTATTTGAGTAAAACCTATTGGTGGTAGTGAATAAAACGAAAAGGTAAATAAAGAGAAACATTTATTTGGAACAAAAATCTATGACAATTATCAAAATCGGTGCCTTTTAAAATATAATTTTATATTTGAGTCGTATGGCTGGCTTAAGCAAAATGGTTCCTTAAAACGTAAATGTTTTAGATCAATGCAATGTTTTACTGGCTGTCAACTTCTTGAGAATTCATCAGTAATCCATTTTTCTGTTATAAAAAATGGGTGATCCCATTGGTAGAGAGACGTCAGGCGGCTGTATGTCGGGGATTTACCACACGTGTACAAATTTTCCCTAATATTAATAAAAATGTAGGTATAGGCTAATATAACAACCATTACGCTTGAAAATAAAAAGTAAATCAAGTGTGTATGTATTTATATTATTAATATTACAATTACCCAACCTACTGCCTTAAATTATTGATATATATATTATAATATAGGTCGGGTATGGACATCCTTTTAACATATTGGTATTTATTGAGTATAAAGGCTTAAATAAAAAGGAAGTATAATGCTTACCAAAAAATAAGAATGTCTCCTTATGGATTCACCGTAATTAAAATCTAACTGAACAAAAATGCCACACTTCCACAACGCGGTATCTCCGGATATGCACTGCTTAGGTAGATAGGTACCAACCAAACATTTTAAAACGCATTTCGGTTATTACCAGTTGTTTCAATCTATTTAACCACTATTGGTGTAATTTAACTTTAATTGTGATACAATTTGCACTAGTAGTGTAAAGAAAAAAGAGCTCTTAGTAACATCAAAACAGACAAAGAAATTGGCATGCACTGTAGTGTACATTTTGTCACTATTTAACACATTAAGGGGTAATAAACACTCGCATTAAGTTTTTCTACCCTTTTGATTTATTTTAATAATAAATAGTGTGAATGTACCAATGAATAATGTTCATATTCTTTAAATGTGTTTAATAAAGTTAATAAGCACTAAATGCTACCTAGTGTATTTTGTAGTGTAACTTTTACACTTACAAATCAACTCTAATATTTTTACCCCTACACAAAAAAATTTACACGGGCAAAATTTTTTACTGTGTATAAGAAAAGTATTTTTAATTTTTTATCTATCTCATCTAATAAAAAATCTTTTGAAATCTTAAGATTTTAATTGTTATAATTTTTAAACACTAGTACTTTATGTAAATTTTTACATTTTTTATTAAACATTAGCATTATTTTTAACACAGATTTTATAATTTTGAGTTTGGAAGATCTAATATAATCTAATGAAGAATGTAATCAAAATATTGAAAAAATATCATTTTACCATTGTTTGGTATCGTTTAATGTTTTTAAATGTCTTAAGCAGCTTATAACTTAAAATAACTACAAGGTCATGTTTCCTCATTTTTGGTGTTCCTGGATGTAAATAAAACAGTTGTTGTTAATGACTTTGGAAGATGTTTTATAAGTAAATAATAGTACATTCCCTGGCCAATTTATTAGACTCACATTTTTAAAAATTTTAAACTTTAAAAGTGATTACATTAAATACTAATATTTTTCACAAAAGACTTTTTAGGGTAAAAACTACGTTTTCTTATACGGTTACTTATAAGTATTTATATTTCAAAATGGTATACCTAAAGTAGGATATAAAGTTACTATTAGTTATTGAAAACACTAATTATATTAAGCATTAAAACTCAAACTCACCTTATCTCATTAACAAAAAAAGCTATCTCTCTAAAAATGAATTAGTGAAAAATTATTACTTTAATAGTTATTAGTGGCTGCTTTTTCACTTGTAAACATGGAATGCCATGGTATCCCAAAATTTAACAGCCAATTCTTATGTAAAATTTTCCCCTGAATCCGAAAATGCCGTCAAAAATTTTGAAAGTGGAGCAGTTTTTGAGATATAGTCAATTCCATATTAAATGGACTATATATCAAAAAACATTTTTGAGTAATTCATTTTTAGAGAGATGATACATTACAAAAATATAAATACTTTGAATTTTTTATCATTATTTTAGTTTTTTTAAGGTAATTTTTTCAGGCCATTATTCATAGTTTTTTACACCCTTTAAAAGACATTAGGTACTAATGGTTATGAAAGAAAGTAAAAAATACCATAGAAATATAATTTAATTGGAAGAAAGTGAGGAGTTTTGTTAACAGTCATGTTTTAAAAAAAAATTTTAAATTAAAAAACATAAAAAAAATTCACAAAAGTTAAATTTTTTTTAAGAAATTTCATTAAAATATTATTTTGTACCCTGATAATTATAATAACCTAGCAAACTCTTTAACACAAGCTAATTACCGTGTTTAAAACCCTTTTTAGTTCATGGAACACATAAAAAAGAAAATTCCATCCAGTTATAAAAAGTTTTTAAGTATATTTTTAATTAATAAAAACGTGGAAAGGTATTAAATTTGGCAACAAAACTTTTATAATTTAACAGAATTAGAAAATGTTGTAACACTTTAGGGTCCAAAATGAACGTATTTAATTTTTATTAGTCCTGTAAAGTTTTAATTAGGTGTGGGAAAAAAGTTTAATGAGATATAAAAAGTGCGCCCTTTATCTGATTAAAAAAATTAATTGAAAAACAACAGTCCAAAGGAGCGTCTTTAATTAAAATAAAATATCCCGCTAATTGGAATCGATCCTCCGCATTTTTTCATTGTCAAATCAATGAAATAAAATTAGTTTTTTTGCGCAAAGAATACACCAACAGTTGATGCTAATTCACTAGCTAATTTATAGTTTAATACTTAACCAACATATCAAATATTAACCCTATAATACAATTAAAATAATTTACAAACCACCCCTCTCATGGGTATCATTTTCGCTCATAAATTGCCCACTCATGCCACCTAATAAAAACACTGCACTTTATCGCAGATCTAGATTTTATCGCAAAGGTAAACATACAGCAATACACGTGTTAAAGTTGCCATTGAAAAAGAGACTTTATGAAAAAGTAACATGAATATTCCAAAGACATAGGCAATTATAAGGCTTGATGGCTTTTAAACACGAGCAACTTTTATGGTTAATGCAAGGAAATCCACTTAAACGAATGTTCCCAATTAGTTAGAAGTTAATAAAGTTAGCTAACTGAGGGTTTATAGCGCAATTTTGAAGAATTGGGTTTCAAATGCCTTAAATATAGATTGCACTGTCTCTATTCTTGACCTAAAGGTATAATATACTGTTTAATTTATACGATTGTTAAACTTTACATCGCATTTTTTATTTTTTTATTTTGGTAAGCCTATATATATATATAGTGATGTAGTTTGAGTAATTGTGTTATTAATGACCATGTCAGGAGCCGTCTAATTATACATGATTCCGTATTATAGTGTTAGAAACTAATAGCCTTTGCAAATAATTAATTTCCACTAATTAATTCATGATGCATTGTACCTACATACATTATAAATATAAATAGAGTTTGACCTACACTTTTATTGTGTTTTGATCTTTCATAATTAAGTAGATATTACAATGTTTTAAAAGTCTAAAACCTATCCTCCGTGACTGTTAGTCTTTCTAGGTTAACCTATATGTTTTCAAATATCTGAGGTAGTTAAATCATACTAAAAATATCAGTTCACTAAGTAAACTAAACACATCCAAAGCAATCTAATCAAATATAAAATATTATTAAAAATTAAAAGAAATTATTTTTATAACTATTTATGTAGGTGTTGGAAAAATTGATTCTATCCTCCGTGAATCTGTTTTTGCTTTAAATTTCATGCAACGGATGGCGCTTTAATCATTTTAAATCACATACTTCCAAGTATGTGTTTTAAATAAGCAAAAACCTCTGTTTACGACATTATACATGTGATTCCTGAAGG